ACACTAAAAAAAACTAAAGGTAAGGTTTTGATTAGATTAGCCATTTAAGTCTGCATTTTCTAACCAAAGTGCTTCCTCAGTTTTCAAAAAGAAAAAATATTGAGTTAATATAAGAATATTCATATTACTACTAATGGATGTATTTCTAGCTTACAAATATTCTAAAAGTCAAAATTATCATTCATGAGTTTTACCACAGGCAGCCAAGAGTCACTGAAGAGTTGAGCTGACCAAATGTCAAGTTAAAACAATTTTCATTCTATTATACCAAGGACATACTGAAAACCACTAGCTTTCTCTTTAACAGTACAATGAAACTCCCACTTTTGAAGTAAATAATAGTAAGATTTAAATGAGTTTACATTCGCATTATTAGCCTTAAGTGTTAAAAGCATAACACCTACATACAGATTCCTCCAAAAGAGGAGCAAGGAGTACCATCCAATACTGCAAAAACATTACTTGCTGTGCTGCAGCAAGGAAGGACTTTCAAAGTTTACTGTAACATCAGGCAGGCTCTGGCTCTTAAAACCCCAACTGCTTATTAGCACGATCTCCTTAAATGTCACCATTGCTATGAAATTACTGTAATTGCTATGAAATCACTTACTATGCAAAGATGGTTCCATTGTAGCCATTCATACAAGACTCAACAATGTTTTTAGCCACACTTGAGAACACAGATTCCTGGGGACAAGGGAAAGAGAAAGCAGTTGGCACTACCTGTTTAAGTATCTGTTATATCAGTGTTTCCTATGGCATAACTTTATAGTATAAAATGGATGCATTCCTTAATGTTAGACATGTACAATAACCCCTGGAATTCTCACAGCAAAATGATACATGCTAAGTCTTTGTGACATAAATCGCTCTCTCTGAAAAAATTGTATTTCTTGATAAACTCAAAGAGAAATAATAAAAATCAGCATCATAGGAACAGCTTCAAAACACATATAATAATAATAATAATAATAATAATAATAATAATAATAATAATAATAATAATAATAATAATAATAATAATCCATTGGTCTTAATTATGTTATGTAGTTTTTACTATCAGTAGGCCAGGTGCCTGTGACACTTATAAAATCTAGCTTTTAACATTCGCCACTGTGGAGTGGCACATTCAAAAGACCTGCACAATTTAGTCTCATCTATCTTCACATATTTCTCTTAGATCTGCAAGAAGAGCCTAGAGCAGGTGAAGTTTTTGGGAGGTTTTGTTTTGTTTGTTTTTTTTTAACAGAATTTAAATGCAATTGGGAATCCTAGCAGAATTAAAATTATGTTCAGAATATCAATCACCCTATTATAGAAATTAAATTGAAGGATTTTCTTTCCAGTGTTACATGTCCCAGGTGATCAATGCATCCATTTAAATGCTACTTTTAAAAGGCAAAAATAGAAGGAGATACTGTAAACAGAATATAAACTCTGAAGTTGTTTAAATATAAATGTGCAGGGCTGGGAGTTGAATTTGATGATCCTTCTGAGTCCCTTCCAATTCAGCATATTCTGTGATATCACATCTTAATATCAGCGACTGACTGCCAGTTAGTTTTATACATTTGTCTCAATAAGCAGGTTTTTTTTCTCTCTATGGTGTTACCATGTTTACAAACAAAACCTTCAATTTTAATTCAAACTCCAATTAAAGAAAAAAAACAGCTAAAAAAATCACATAAAAACTGTTAAAGAGCAGAATATAATGCATCATTGTAAGCTATAACAACGTATTTCCAACCTGACCACTGCAAAAAACTAGACTTAATGCACTACATCTTTAGAACGGCTTAGCACAGTAGTTGCCAAAACTTGGGTGAAAACAGCAGTAATTATTAATTAATTAATTAAAAGATTCTGGAAATTATTACCTGTGTTGTTTCCATATTTGCAACATAATCGAAAGTGAAGATCTTTGGCTCAGGCTTTGAGTGCAGGCGGATGGTATTTGATGAAAGGACAGATAAACACAGGCCATGATCTCCATCAGTTAATGCAGTTCTGTCCGAAGGGGGACGCACCCTTACAAAAACTTTGATAGCATCACCTTCAACACTAAACAAATGTTAATGCATTAGATTACTTCCAAATAGATCAGATGTCTGATAAAATTAAATTGCAACAATCAGATGAAGCATATGAAGCCTTACAAAGGTCTGTCGGAAAATCATACTACTTGTAGACAGAAACAATAGAAGTAAAAATGTGGCAGATTTAAAAAAAAAACATGCAGTTACATGCAATTTACTGCTGTGGCACCTAGCTTTACCTCTAAAAGAGCACATTGCACAGTGAACATGAGATGCCCTTCTTACTCCTGGAAGCTTTAATGGACCAATGGATCAGGTAATGCTACGGGCCAGCAAAAAAGTTGTTAGCATTTTTCTTTGGTGCTCACAAGAAGGGGAAAAAGAATCAATTCTTGATCAATGAATCAAATAAAGCATAGCAAGTTCCTGCATCTAAAATATCCCTAACCAATTCCATCACATTTATCATCTTTAATAAGTAACTGTGTATGACTTACATTAAGGCTCTGAAGAGTTCTGCCGTAAATACCAATACACCCATAAAATACTAAATAATTAAATTCTTACATGAAGTGGTAGCAAACTTGCATTTACTTTACTTAATTCTGTTCCAAAAGTTTTAGTAGGAGGGTGTTGTAACTGCTATTATTACTTTTCGTAACAAGAGAGAAGAACAGTTTTAAAAGTGGGGAAGGGTCTTCATGAATGAAGTGTGCAGTTGGGTAGTGACAGAGAAAAGGGTTCAGAACATAAGCAGCAGCTGAGAAAGGGAAGATGTTATACTGGATTTAAGACACACCAAATTAATTTGCCAAATGTGTTTTCTTTGTATAACATTATTCTGAGTTGTGGCACAGTTTACACTTGGAGGAGGGCATTTTGGCTTTTGTTTTACTTTAGGGCTCCCTCACAGGACTGACGTTCCTAGTGGGATAGTTTTTCATATAAACTCTAGAGCTCAGCTGCAGAATTAGTGGAGAAATGAAAATTTATTGCATGACAGCATTACAAGAGGAACCCAACATCTCAGTGTAACAGTTTTATTATGAGTACATTATTTTTAAAGCCTGTAAGGATATTAGGAGAGAAAGACAGCAATCTTAGGCAGGTAAAGATTGAAATAAAAAGCTTCAAATCATCTCACAAAGTTATGCTAGGCTTTGTTTGCACTTTCTGTGCAATGTGATTAAAAATATATGGGAACTGGCCAATATTATTTTACCTAGCTGAGTTCAAGGAAGATATTGAAGAGTCACGCAGATCTCCTATAAAAGAAAAGAGAGACACACAAAAATTAAAATAAAATTACTGCTCAAAACTCCTCACTTAAATAGAAAATACTGTAGGCAGTACAGAGGGAAATAAATGGAGAGCCTTATAAATACCTGTTTTATGCATGAACAGAACTGCATTAAAATATTTTGTAATTATCTTCATTTGGCAGAAAGATTTCAGTTTTTTACAGAGGAAGAGAAAGCTCCAGTCCTTTAATGTGAACATTAGCAATGTGCCATTTGTTAATCTGGCAAAAAGGAGGCTCTGGGAGACCTCATCACTCTATAACTGCCTGGAAGGGGACTGGGGTCACACTCTTCTCCCACATGACAGGACAAGAGGACCCAGCCTCAAGCTGTGCCAGAGGAGGTTCAGACTGGACATCAGGAGGAATGTCTTCACTGAAAGGCTGATTAGATATTGGCATGGGCTGCCCAGGGAGGTACTGGAGTCGCCATGCCTGGAGGTGTTTGGAATACCACCCAGTGCCACTGCCTGGTTGACAAGGTTGTCAGTCATAGGTTGGATTCCATGATCTCAGAGGTCTTTTCCAACCTCACTGATTGTGTGAGTGAGGCTCATTTTACACAGCTTCAGATTTCAAGGTGACAGCACGTATTACCCCATAGGTAAATAAAGTGACTTAATTTTTACTTAATCTGACATCAAAGTACATAATATAGTCAAAACATTAACTAACAAAACTGTATTTAGAAAATAAGAAAAATAACAATGAAAGACAATGCCTCAAAATATTCCAATAATAAAGTATTTACAAAATCCTTAAAAGCACACGGGGTTTTTTTGTAGGAGGATCACCTTTAACAAGCAGAACAAACAATGATGTGCAAGATGCCTACCTTCTCTTTGACATTCATACTACCTAAATATCCTGCTGCTGCATGAGCTTTTTACGTGCTGTTTTGACTTACTCAACACCTGAGAAATATTTTAACTTCTAATTAAGTAATTTATTCTTCAATTGCACACGTTTTCAAGGAAAGGAGTGCAGTTAAAAACTGAAATCGGACGCATAGGTACTTGCACAGCCCTGGGACTAGCCTGAAATTGTGTAAACGGAGGTTTGGGCTGGATATTAGAAAAAGGCTCTTCACTTAGAGGGTGGCTGGGCACTGGAACAGGCACCCCAGGGAAGCGGTCACAGCACCGAGCCTGACAGAGCTCAAGAAGCGTTTGGACAATGCTCTCGGACACACGGTGTGATTGCTGGGGATGGTGCTGTGCACGGCCAGGAGCTGGACTCCATGATCCTGTGGGTCCCTTCGGACTCAGCTGATTCTGTAATTCTGGGAAAGGGCCGACTCCCAGGTACCCCGACAACACCGCGGCAGCGCTCTGAACGCCCCGGAGCACCGGGCCCCATGGTGATGCCCCGCCAGGGCACGGGACAGCGCAGCTCTCCCGGGCAGAGCCGTCCCCCGGTACCCCCGCCTCCTCCCTGAACCGCGGGCACATCCCCAGGCTCCTTCCCAGCCGCTCCCTCTCACCTCTCACGCCGGGAGCCATGGCCGCGCCGAGCCCGGCAACTCCCGCCCGCCGCTCCAAAATGGCGGCGCCTTCGAATTTGGCGCTCAGCGGAGCGGCCCCGCCCCCTGCCGGGCCCGGCGCGGCCGCCGCCATGTCGCCCGGCACGGAGGGCGCGCGGCCCGCCCGGAAGCGCGCGCGGCGGCGGCGGCGGCGGCGGCGGCCATGAGCAAGAGGAACCAGGTGTCGTACGTGCGGCCCGCCGAGCCCGCCTTCCTCAGCCGCTTCAAGCAGCGGGTCGGGTACCGGGAGGGCCCCACGGTGGACACCAAGGTAACGCCCGCGGCTGGGAGGGGGCAGCCCCCGCTTCCTGGCGCTTCCAGGCCCTTCCCGAACCTTGATCCCCCTCTCCCTGCCTTCTGGCGTAGTGGGCGGTGGGGAAGCAGCAGCATTCCAGGGTTTTGTAACTAAAATCGTATGTGTAACTTGGTTTTGCTTGTGTGTTGGCGGATCAGAACAACTGCAAGGCTGCGGTGGCGGCCGTGCGGAGCCTTGCTCCAGCCTCTCCGTGCCCGAGGCCTGTGGGGGCACGGAGGGAACAGCGCTGATGTCCGAGCTTGAACCGGACTTTAAAGAGCCCAGGGCAGTGCAGGAGGAGGGCGGTGTGGAAAAAAATGTTCTAAAAGTACTGTAAAAAAAAAAAATCGTAAAGGAGTTAAGATGGGTTCGAACTGAAAGAGGGGAAATTTAGGTTCTGTATATGGAAAAAAGTTCTTGACTGTGAGGGTGGTGAGACAGGTTGCCTAGAGTTCATTGTGGATGCCCCATCCCTGGAACTGTTCAGGATATCACTCTGAGCAGCCTGGCCTAGTGGGAGGTGCCTTGTCCGCGGCAAGAGGGTTGGAACTGGATGATCTATAAGGTCTCTCCCAACCTAAAACATCTTGCTGTGGGTCCGCGGTCATGAACTGTGTTGTGATGGCTGGAAAGGCAGGGCCGGGGCGGTAGGGTCTGAGCCAGCTTGTTAAAAGGCAGCCTTTCCTAAGGCACAGGTTTTTTTCTGCTTCCAGTGTGATTTAACATGTATTTCCCTCTAAATAGTATTTTACAGGGTACCTTAAGAAATGAACTTATCGTTTTATACATATATATACACACATATTCAGTAGATTACAGTAATACTGTCTATACTTAAAATATGAAGTTTTCAGGTTCTCTAATATTGCCAAACTTCAGGTTGCTGCGCTGAGGTTTCCATGCCAGAAGGTGTATTTAAAAAAAATAAAAAATTACCCTAATTGATTCTTCTCCCCAGTGCACAAGTCAGAGAGAGCAGAAACAGGAGCATGTTCTTCCTTGTGTCAGTGCTGCTTACAGTGATTTGTTTAGCCGGGTTTAATAACCCAGCCACCATGGACCCACATTTCCCTTTGTGCTGCTTTGAGTACAGCATGGAGGGTTCAAATTTGGACCTTAAATTGTACAGCAGATTGTGCTGCACAGTCAAGATGGTGAAGAAAAAGAATTAATTTCTTGCTTTCCAAGTTCCTTCTGGTCTCTAATTGAAGAAGCCCGTACTCCCATGCTAACGTTTTCAATAGGAAGCCGTATCTGAGTGATAGAGTTGGAATGTCCTTTGGACAACGTGTGTTGGGAGGGTCTGGCACTGGCAGCTATGCCAAGTCTCCTCAATAACCTTTCTGCAAAAGTGAAACCAAGGAGTACTGACCCACAACTGGAGTGATGATCAGAATGGCTTTTATTTCTCTCTTGTCCAGAGAGAGCAGCTTCCACTTGCTGATGACAGTGACAATGGCAGTGACAAGGAAGATGAGCAGCCTCAAGTGGTGACACTGAAAAAAGGGGACTTGACTGCAGAAGAAGCAATGAAAATTAAACAGCAAATCAAAGAGGCCTTAAAGTCAAAAGAATCAGGTGAATTTCAAACTACTAATTTCTTGCTTTGTGTAGTCAAAGAGATAACCCACAAAAGCGAGTCTGATACTTGCTCAGTTTTCTACTGTTTAATACTACCTTTGATTAGTTCTGAATTTTTCACCTAAATAATTTGTACTTCTGGTTCCTAATCTCAAAGTCATTAAGTACATATTCAGACTGTCTGGCTTTTTATAATGATGTGGTGCTGTGCTTCTTGATTATGCACCATCCTTCCTCTAAATACTCCCTTAAATGAATTTTTTTTGTATTTTTGTAAATTAATTTTTTGATGTATTCTTCTGGTGCACAGTCTTTTGACGTCACTTGTGATAATTTTTTAACTCATTGACTAGTTCAACCAAATTTGACAGTGGAGTGGATGTTGAAAAGCTAATTGTATGAGTGCGTGAAGGAGAGTGTCAGGGCAGAGGGATTCAGGTCTGTGCTTTGGTGGAAAGAATTGCAGATGCATGGCTTGGGAACACGTTCTCTTGCCTGACTGGTCCGTGTGATTACTTGTTTAAAATCAACCCCAGTATGTGTTGTGACTTGCAAATATATTAAGCAAGATAGACAGATGATACAATAGTGCCAAAAACCAGCAAGGTCCAGAAAAAAAATGTTTCTCTGTGTCCTGGTTTAGGGCAAATTTGGGAGAAAACCTCCAAAACGGCCCCCCCCTTCAGAAAGCAAACTCCCCCCAACCAGTTTGGAAAAAATTTCTGTGGAGAGAAGTGGAAAGAACCTGTTTATTTAATAGGCAAAGCACTCCCCAGCACAAAAAATGAACAATACCAGATGACAAAACTCATTTGCTGCTCTGAAGAGATGACAAATTCAGAAAGTGTCTCCTGGGGGTGGTTGCTCTGTTATCAGTCCCTCTGGCACTGGGAAAGGCTGCTGCCCAGAGAAGGCCTGATGGCCACAGAGTGAGACCGCTTGGTGCTCCCCAGGTCCCCAGTCCGGAGCAGGTTCAAACAGTTCTAAGAAAAGGGAAAGAAAAGACAGTTCAGTGAAAACTTCCCTGCCTCAGCTAGCTAAACTAAACTAAAAAGCAAAGGAGGGATCTGTTCTGCTCTGTCCATGCCAGAACAATCCAGTGCAGCATGTGGAGGAGGAATGCAGTTTCTGATAACAAACTCCATGCTTCTTCTCACTGCCTTTGCTCTCAGAACCAGTCTTGAAGGCACAGAATATAATATCCAGCATAAGCAGAGCAGATGACTGGGGATATAAACCTCATAAATTCACCCTAGGACACTCTGCCACAAAGAATTACACAGAATGGAAAGATGGAAGTGGTGTGGGAGGGGCTGCTGCAATTTCACAGTAAAGATGAGAAACTACAGCTGATGGATACAGTTATGTTAAGAATTTCTCTCAGTATTCATCATTCAGCTATGATTGACATTAAGTGCTTTGAGCGTCCAGAAGCTTCAGTCATCACACAGGGTGTGATGAAATGTAGCTTTATCTTTTGCTGACAGAAGACCTGACAAATTGAATGTAGCTTCTGTTGTCTCTAGTGGAAATGTCTTGACAACAAAGAATATAGGAACTGGAACCCCACAAGTATAAAATAGAAAGGTGAATCATAGAAACTGGACGTCTTCTGTGGTTAGCCATTATGGCTATTTACAAAAGCTGCCAATTGAATTTAGAGCACACTGTGAGGCCTAGCACATAGCTGCCAATCGGACATCCATGGCTTCTCTCTTAGTCTGCCATTTGGATTTGAAAATTCAGATTCATGCTAATCTTCGTAGATGTATGTGTTAAAATTCAAATGATATAAATGGAGAAGTGGGTAACAGAAGTGGGAGAAAATCTATTGGGAATCTTATATTTTTTGAAATGCAGACTGATGAGAAATCTTAATTTTTAATAATGTAGGTTAGCTTGAAACTAAATAAACCACATCCTATTTTCTGCAGGTAGATATGTATTTGTTAGGACTAAGCAGGTATTTGACTTGAACTCCTCTGAGAAAATATGCTCAGCTTTGGTGTCGCAGTTTCTAAAGTCATCACAAAATTTCTTTTCACCGTCCTAGTATTGGGAGAAGTTTCAACTTATTGGAAAGAAATATCATGGTTCTTTTTGAGCATTGGCTTCCTTTTCACATAAGCAACTTGAACTTTGAGTGATCACAGTAGGAGGAAAAATGATTTTGTAAAGCTGGGCAAAAAGAAGTAGTTGTCCATGAGAATCTATTGAGGTGGAGTCCATGCTGTGAAAAAAGTCCAAAAGAGTTACCAAGCTGAATACACAGTGTGAAATGGAAGTGTATTTGAATAGAGTGACTGAACTTGGTGGAAAAAGACATTCCTAAGACATAATTGTATGTAGTGAGGATGGCAGTATTGAGTCCCTGTAGGACTTTGTCACCTCTGCTTATTACCCCTTCAGCCCTTCCGTAATAGCTTGCATTTGGAGGAAAAAATCCACAGAAGTAGGTAGCAGGAGTGTTGGGGACTGCTGCCCTCTGTTCTGCATTATTGTGTTACTATTCATTCATCTACCTTTGCAGTTAATATGAGGTCTTGGTGTTCTTTTCCTTTTTATGGCTTATGGGAATAAACAGGGTAAGCACTACTGTGTTTCTCTGCTATGGAGGGAACCCAGTGTGAAATTTCCAACAAAGGGAGGTGAGTGTGACTATGCTACAACTTGCTGAAGGCTTTTTTGCATTTTGGGCCGTTTTTGCACTGTCAGTCTGACCTCTAGGTTTAAATTTTGATTTCTAATCTGAGGCAGGTATTTAGACAGCTGTTTACTTCCAGTTTAATAAAGAGAGTTTTGAGTAACATGAGAATTTATTTTAATTTTTTTGGCTGTCAATTCTGAGAAAGGGAAGTATAAAGAAAATTTGGTGCTGCATGATTTGGTTGCATTTCATGTTGCTTTGATTTTAATCCCAGAGTTGAAAGTCAAATTAATTTAATAGCTACTAGACCTTGTTATATAGTTGCAAATCAGATTGTTAGTGAAATTACATGAAGCTAAAAAGGTAATAGGAAAGTAAATTTCCCAACTGATAATCTTCCTTGCCAGCATGCATCAGTGCTGAGGCACTTCGGTAGAGCCTAAGAAATTTGCTACTAACTATCTGTTGTGGATACAAACAGTTTTTCAAAACTTGGGAAGTACTCAGTTTTGTGGTTTTGCCATCTTTTCCCTTATATTGTAGTGATTGTCCTCATTTGAAGGACCTTGTCTTCAGGTTTAGGATTGTGATATTACTCCAGAATTTTCCATATCTCAATTACATACTTTATCCTTTGTTTTCTTCTATAACCATTTTGATGTGGCTACAGCTTTTGTTGTTTTGGTTTTGTTTATTTTTAATTTTAGATACCAGATGTTCCTATGACTTGAATTTTCTTTTATAGATGAGTAACATTTTTGCATTATTGTGGCAATGCCAGCTGATTAATGTCCTAGCTGCACTTAATTGCTTCCTAAGGCAGAGCAAATCCTAGCTTTTCTGTTGGCTTTTGCAAGTAGAGTCACAGGGATCTTTTTTATTTAGGACCAAACCTTTTTTAGATGACACCATTCTATATTGAAATATTTTTTCCATGGAGCAGAGACTCAGAGGCTTTTTAAAAAAAATAGTTTTTTTATCAGCAGTGATTTTGCTTAGTGTTTTATGCATAATTTATTTAATTGTCGCTGTTGGTTCAGAGACAAAGAAAAATGGTCTTATGAGAAATTAAATTTGCACAAAAGAAAATACATTAATTACTGCAAGATAATTTATCTCAGCATTCATTATAGTCTATGAAATAGATTTTTTTTCCTACTATTTTTCTACTTCTATGGCCTCTGGGACACTCTGACATATGCAGATGACCAAATTTGACAAAGGTAGCCTTTCTTATTCAAAGCCTTATAATATTTTTCTTGTTTCATTCTATATGCTGGGTTCTGGGGAAGGACAGTAGAGAGAAGAGGCAAGGAGAATACAGTCCTTGCTGTCTTGGCTATTGGAGTCCTTTCTGAATAAGCACAGAGTGTTCTGATTTAAGCAGCTGATAATATCAGATACATCTCACAGGGGTAATGCTGCTCTGTTAAATACGAAATATTTCACATATATGTGAAATAGCAGGAACCTAAATCAAAACTAACTTCGCAGTTTTTAAGTAAGGAAAACTTTCCCAAGTGTTCTCATAAACAATTGAAACTGACTATGGAGCAAGAGAGACCTACTTATCTTCAAACCACCAGTGTGCTGAATTCCTGAAACACTTCCAAAGGCATGGATAGAGAATGGATGGCCAGAAAGCACTGGAAGGAGCATCTGAAATGTTTGACCTGAACTTCTAACTCTAGAAACCATTAAGAAATTTGCCAGGTTATTGTAATTTTTTTCCTAACCTCCTATCTTTGAATAGATGTATATGGGTTCCACTGTTCCTCCTGTTGCTCCTGACAGTTTGGTGGCACTTGTGTTTCCTGTTGTTGCCTCAGTGACATACGTGAACAGGAACTGCTGAAAAGTGGTGCTGCTAACTACACAAATTATTACTAAATAAAAAAGCATTTAAACTGAGAAGCAGTATTTCATTTTCAGGCTCTCATTTCTACTTTTATTTTAATATATACCTTGAAATTAAAAGAAAAGAAGAAATTTCTGATTTTGTGGTTTCTTAAATTGATGTCACTTGTGAATTAAGTTTTCAGTTCAACATCTGACTGTGCTCATGTTGGTCAACCAGTGGTGTGTGATCCAGGTAAAAAGCAGCAATGACTAAGAACAGTGGGAATTTGAACTGCTAGTGTAGTTTTTGACTTATTTTTGAGAAGTGGATTTTATTATTTCTCCTGTAGTGCTTTTATGTATTTTACTTTGTGTGTTTCAGTGTGCTTACCACAAATCCCACTTTCCATACTTCGTAATACTAACAGAATCTTTTATTGGGACCCTGTTTTAAAAACTACCAACACTGAGATTGTTTATTTTTTTTTTTTTTTGCATTGCTTAGTACAAGTCAGTTTTTTGTAGGTCTTTAATGACAACAAAAAAGATAGCTGACACATAAGAACCTGGTGAAATTACAAAGGATAAAGTGAAGTAATTTTACCATCTGAAAAAGACAATCTTAACACATCAACACAAATTCCTTGAACTGCCTCATTGAATTTTTTCAAAAAGTGTAGTCTGTCCTCACTCTCTCCACATGTAGGCTAGGCCTACTGTGTTTCCTTATCTGCTTCATTCTTTGTCAAGCACTGCCAACACACACTGCTCTCTGAAGCTGGCCTGGGCTTCCTGCTGAAAGGAATGTCCTTGAGCATATAATGAAATTTTTACAGTATTTAACCAGGCCAAAAGCTAAAATAATTTCCTTTGATACAGAATGACCTGTGAATAGTATTGTAGCCCTGGAAGCCAGAGCTGAGCTAGTTGCCATTTTGGTGATGTTTTTGAGCTTTGCTGTTTGTGCCCTTAGCTTATTACATATTTAAATTCATATTGCAAAGATACTTATCGGTTTCTTCATCTGGTTGGCAAAATGAAATTATTTTGTGCAGTTCACAATGTGGGTAGCAGGCCAGTTGTGAGTAAAATTAAAATTTCTGTCTTCGCTTTTTCCATGGATTACAACTATGTAGCTGTTCATCTGTTTTCTTTTATGGATATGCTTTGAACTGTAGTTTTAGGGGTTAGGTTTTCAAATTTACCACTCTAAGAAAATGTAATAATCCATTTGTTAGAGTATCCAATGGGGGTATGATTTTTTTGCTCCTCATGCTTATCCAGTAGCTGGTTGCATCATTTCCACACCAGTAATGGTACTGTATACAGCACATAGTTGTGTCTGCACATAAGGGAAGTTCTCTTCATAGATAGATTTTTTTTTTCAGAATTTGGCTTAGATTGTGTCTCAGATCTTGTTTAAATTAAAAGATCTCCATTTCCAAATAAACATTGTAGTTATGCAACAATTAGTAAGGGATATAATTTGCTATTAAACTTCTTAGCCCAAAAATGGAGGCCCAACTTCTGAGAAAAAGTATGCATAGTGCATTCTGATTCATTAGATATTATATGCTTTCAGGAGTTCTATTTCCCCTCCCAGAATTTACTGTAGGCACTTCCTAAACATCTAAACAGCATCTAAACAATTAAGCTCTCTGTGCAGAGTTCACAATGGATCCATTGAGAACTATGCTTTTCATAACTACAATTTATTATTGCTGCTAATTCCTTGTAACTGTAATGCTTTTCTAATGTGCCATGAATTAAGTATTTTCCCCCAGACCTGGTTAGTTATTTTCTACACAGTAGTATTTTCTCGTTGGGGGAAGACCTCTAGGATCCCTGGAGCCCCACTTATTAACTTTGCATTGCTTTGATGCCACTAAACCGTGTCCCCAAATGCCACACGTTCTTTGAACACTGCAAGGGATGCTTTCTCCACTACTTGCCTGGACAACTTGTTCCAGTGCCTGACCACTCTCACAGTGAAGAAATTTTTCTTGGTATGCAATCTAAACTCTCCCATGTGGCCGTTTCTTGTCCTGTTGTTACTTGGGAGAAGAGACTGGTGCCTACCTCACTACAGCCTCCTTTCAGGCAGTTGCAGAGAGAGAGAGAGAAATGAGGTCTCCCTGGAGCTCCGTTTCTCCAGGCTGGACAACCCAGGTCCCTCAGGACTTGTGCTCCAGCTCATCACCGTATGTACATTTTGGAAGTATGCATTCCGTAGAAGCCATTGACAAAATTGGTGCCTAGTTTTTCAAGCTAGGCTTCTTCTTTAAGAGGGTCTCTGAAACTTAAGGCATTCTAAGTGAAATTTCCCGCTAAAGTTGATGTCTTCATTTGTACCAGACAGCCCTTAAGATACCGGATTTATTAGTTGTATTGTTTTGAGAATGCACTGAAGAGAATTTCAGCTAGTGCTGTGTAGATAACACTGAAATGTTAAGTCTTCTGCCGTAGTGCTGATATACTGAGGAAAGAATTTGTGCTAAAGAGAAAAGTTATTTATTGGTTTTAATTAAATAGCACATAATCTTGTCAAACACATTTCTGTTGAGTAATGAATTTCACAAAAGTAATTTAGGAAAAGTATCTTGTACAGAACCTATGGCTCCTTAACATTCTGTCACATATACATTATAAAAATTGCAAGCTACTGCAGCATGAACCTTTGTGTCTGATTCACAACTTTACATTACACTTCATCTTCCAGAACTACTGCCCTGATGCTGTTACTTATGCAGTAGATTTCCCACTCTGCCTGATAATCATGGAAGGGACTTATCCTGTTTTCAAGATTGTTGTCTGCTCCTCTCTTCTGCATGCACTAGAGCAAAATTAGTTGGAATAGTTGGGTGATCTTGCAGATACAAAGAAACCCTGAAACTTTCATTCATTATGATAATAAAGGGGACATTTATTACCATGTGATCTTTTCAGCTGTCTCAGCAGGACAGAATATACTAGAGAAAAAAGGTTTTCTTGTATACGTGCCATTTTGTTATTTAAAGAGATGCCATAATTCTGAAATAAGTGCATTTGTTGTCATGAATTTTACAAACACTGAAGCAGAGTGAGAGGATCCTGTGAAGTTGTCCTCTCCATTTTGGTAAGTGGATGTGAGTGGAATGTGAGGGAAAAGCTCTACTGCTTGCAGTCTCTTCTAAGTTAGAGCTCTGGTTAGTGAAACCCCATTTCCAGTAGGAGCTGCAGGAGGATTTTCTTCAAGGGCCGGCTGACATGGAGCAGGTGTGTGTACATGAAGGACATTCATTGATATAGAGTTTATGGCAAAAAAGTACATTTTCAGGATTGTTGTATTCTCTCAGAGGTCTTACTGATTTTGGTTCGAGACCTGTATGTGTTTGTGAACATATGCAGATGAGTTCTGACTTTACTCTCTTTATTACAGATGATGAACCAGAACCCGCTGATGGAAAAATTATGTTCAGGAAACCAGTCAAACGTTCATCAGAGAAGTGTTTGGACTTCAATGTAAGTTCAAGTAAGAAGATGAAAGAAGCAAATAAAACTAAAAGGGAAGCAACTACTTCTCAGAGTACAGCTAAGCAAGTAAAAAACAGCAGTCTTCTCTCATTTGATGATGAGGAAAATGATGATTAGTGGTTGTATTTTTTTATGCTTTACTGCCCATCTAGAGACTAACACTGAGAGCCTTCATAGGAATTGAAGCATGGTGTGAGTCTTCTCTTACTTTGTTATAGTCCAACTAGAGAAATATTATATAAAATTAGCATGAGCTAAGTCTATGCATTTGGTTGCAACTGTATGTCATGTCTTAATTTTAAGAGAATTTAACCATGTATGTAAAAGCTATTTGAGGTCACAAATGAGTAGCAAATTATACCTGTATATATTCAGCTTACAAATTTTCAACCAATTTTAAAATGCCCTCCATTACTAAAATGTATTTTGTCTGTATTGAATAGCCTTAGTTGACAATTGTGTGGTTTTTACCTGTTATAATTGACATTCAAAAGAGAGACACTTCATTGCTGTGAAACAGAGACTGAAGTTTTCTGTCTCACAGCTTGACAAAAGTTAGCACAACCTTCGCATTTGTGATTTGCAAGATTAGCTCTTGCAGAGCCTTGCAATAAATTTGCTAAAGGCTAGAGGCTGCATTTGCAAAATTCATGTAGTCTTGATCCCGTCTTTGGTGAATGTAGTCTAAGAAACATCAAATTCATTTGAATTGGTTGTAATAGCAAGATATAGAGATTTTCATTCTAGTTGATGGTATCAATTAATGCAAAAGAAGCCTAAATCATTGGAGAGTGTGCATTTTGGTTTTGACACTGATGGACTCAGTGGTTTGATGGTGTTTTGGGGCTTTTTTTTAAAGTGTATTTGTTCCAGTTAACAACTTACATGTTCATAATTATTTGGGATCTCAGCTTGTTTAAAAACTGTATTTCATCTTTAAGCTGTGGAAAAGCATTAATTAAGTATTCTTCAAGTAGGGGGGAAGTTGTAAACAGGAAATTTAAGCCAAGAAACACTATAGCTATGTGTGTCTTGGTTTAAGACAGTTTCCAGGGCAGACGCTCCAAAATGAATTACTGCCCCTTTTAATTTTAACTGCTTCCCTTTCACCGATAAGCAGAGATGAAAGAACATATAAGTGAAAAAAGAAAAGTTTACTAAAAAATGAAGCAGTAACAGGCAGGATAATGGTAATCGTCACTAGATACGAAGTGCTGAATCCCACGGACTGCTTGGGAACAAAGAAAACACGATGGCAGAGAAGCCCCTCCCCAGAAATGTTAGCCTCCATAGAAGACCACATGGTTCAGGGGACAAAGATAAGCTGGTGGAGAAGCCCCTTCTCCTAACCATGTGTTGATTAGAGAGAAAAAAAACACCACAGCATCTGAAACTCTGTGATTATGAAAGTCCCTCTTCTCCAAATAACGACCAGCAAGGAACAAGGACAAAACAAAAAGAAACCTGGACTCCAAATCCAGTCAAATGCTGCTGATCCATTTGCTCCACATCACCAGACGGGGTCTCTCTCCCAGCAGCAGCAGCAGCTCCATCAACAGCGGTGGCTGGAACTCATGGAGGAACTTGGCCTCCTCCTCAGCAGAAGATGACAGGCAGATGCCTGGGGCAGCCCAGGCTCCACACCTTCCCACTGCATCTGAGCATTGCTGGGGAGCTGGAGTGACTGTATGGAGCAGGAGCCTGTTCTGTTTTTCCCACTGTGGTGCCATGGCTGGCTATCCCAGGTGACAGCAATGAAAAAGGAAGGAAAAAAGGTCAGAAAAGAAGGTCTGCCCTGGTTCAGACCAAAACCAAAGAGGAGCTTCTGCCTTCCACTGCCTCAGCTTCTCAGTAGCTAGTGGGAACAAAAGAGAGGCCTGTGTGAGTGTTGTCATAATTTTAAAGGGATCCTGGCATCTTCTGCCTCCATGAACCTGGGGCAAGACCCTCTGGTTCTGCTTCTGATCCCCAGGTCTTAAAGAGAAAGTAAAAATCTTGTCCAGATGGGGGTAGAGAGTGTCCATTTCAACATCTTTTCTGTAACAGGACAGAAATGACACTGAGAGCTGATGGGATTTTAGAGAACAAAGTGGTAGGAATGTGACTTGTGACTTTGAAATTATTTGGGTGTATGGTGTATTCTGTAACCATATGAAACCAGTTCTGCTGTGTGACAGGACATTTGAAATTATTTGGCCTGTAAAGCTTCATCAAGGAGCAAATTTCAAGTTGCTGTGTGAAACAGCTTGTTTTAGTTTATTCATCTGGTAGTAAACAATAAATTTAAGTTTTAAATTTTAAGTTTTCTTTGAAGTGGTTCAAAGATATTTTAATGAAAATTTCAGTACAAGAATGGGATTTTTTTCCCTTCTGATATTGGAGCCTCCTGTACCTGCCTGTCTGCCTACACACCAGCTTCCTGCAGCATAACATCAGATGCAAGTCTGCACACTGTTTTGCACTGTTTGTGGGAGTACATGTTACCCTGATTTTGAAAATGAATAGATCTGTTGTCCTTTCAGAAAATTGAAACCAGACCTATAAATGGGTATTAAAGTCTTGTTGCACTGGTCTTGTATTAGAATTGTGAGAGAGATGCTGTGTGACAACCTCATTATTCCCATGAGGACATGCTACATTTGTAAATACATAATTGGTCTGTATTCTCTACATATAAAAGAAGAAGAAATTTAAAGAACAAGTACAAAACCAAAGGTTCCCAGGAATTAGTATATCCATTTATTTTGCATTGTTGTTTGAATCCGTTAAAGAATATATACCAATACATACATACACACCCATGAGTAATCTTGTAGCATTCCAGCATACAAAGGGAATATTTGGACATATGTCAACAATGGAGTAAATACTCTGACTTACTGAGACTCATCTGAAAGAATGAATTAACCATTGGCTGCTTCCTTAAACTTTTCTGATTCTGTTTGTCAGTACAGAAATACATTCGCATACATTTTTCTTGCACAACCTGGAAGCTCATAACTTGAGCTGTGAGGCAGTTTAGGAGACCTGGCCATTGAGATAAATGCTTGCCAAGGACCAGAGGGCATTTGATTTCACCGTAAAATTAGAGAATTTCTCACAAATACGCAGTTGATCTGGCCTTTTCAAAATAAGATTGAGATCTTGTTTAGTTATGGATAGTAATTGCATTTAAACAAAAGTTACCATTTTTAGTGAAAGACTTGGGAGACTGAAGTCCAGTAAAGGGAGGGTTACCTTAAAGTTTTGAGTGTAGTACTTATTGAATGTGGTACTTTTGGTTAATCATGCTTCTTACTCCACAACCTCATGACAGATGTCTGGAATGCAAATAATTGGATTGAATTTACTTGGAAATAATAAAAGTTATGTTGTTGTTTAGGCAACACAGCAGGGGAAAGAAAGTTGGATATGGAACCCAGTTTCTTTCCTTTATTCCAACTGACTTGTAGTGCTCTGACCAGGAGAAGACCTTTGTATTCATTGTATTTTGCTACCAGTTCACCCAACAATAATTGAATAGATTTATTAAGAGGTGTGAGTGATACACAAAAGCATTTTAATCAGGTAGTCATGTGAAAATTCAGTGTTTTTACCATGACACACCAGGAAAATCACACACACAATCAACTCCCATGAAACCTGTGGTTAAAGAGAGCAATTACTTGTTCACTTAGGAAAGAAATGTGAAACTCTTAAGCAATCACCTGTCCTAATGGGCCATGGGAAAATAATATTCACAACTTTCTTATAAAGGGGAAGCCAAAAAAACTTAAGTACATGGAACATGAGGCTAAGGAACATGAGAAAAGGACAATTTTCCTGGGTTTTCTTTTTCTCTTGCTCTTGCTTGCCCCCATTCCCTGTCCTTTTCCTCTCCTGTAGTGGAGAATGTATCTGTCACCTTAATTTCTTTTGAAGAACCAGGATTTTTCTCTAAATGATAGGAATCAAGGTGAATCATCAAGAATGCTACATTCTTGATAGATAGAATAAACAAGAAAATGTGCGTGTGGGCAGGTGGCCCAGGAGTTCATACCTTTGCATTTCTGAAATAAAAGCAAATTTGTTGTACTGAAAAAGTTCATCTCATTGGCCTAAAGAGGAAGGGATGAGTCAGAATTATATTCTGATAGTTTTTTTTTGTCCAGAACTTTTCCTAGAAATATCATTTGGAGGATCAAAGGCTGTGTTTTGCAGACACTGAGCACAAGAAGCCTGTATTTAGCGGTTTTAATTACACATTTGTAAGTTTCATCACAGGACTTAATGTTCTTTTTTACAGTGCTTCAGTATATAATCCTGTTAGGAAGCTGCAGATTTAAAATGAAGCAGGAAGCAGCAATGTCATCGTTTCAGCTGATTGTTTCCCTTATGCTGTAGTGTATTAACTAAGTAATGCTTCACTTGGCTATGCAGAGCCAGCTGCCTTCTCAAGGACATCAGGCTTGCTTGGAGATGAGTCATTACCTTTTGTGCAGCACACGAGGTATGATGTGCAGCCTCAGCAAGTGTTTGTCCATTGAGGTTGGTTAATAACCTATAGGCCTATCCTGTGGCAAGATGCCATAAATCAGTCCTTTGTGCATTCAGCAAACAGAAAGGCTGGTGTATCAGTTACCTCTTCACTATCATCCCTTTATTCCCATTCCTAGAACAAGGTACTAATTTGCAAAGACATTTTTCATGTTGTAGATCTTCTCTTCTGCCCCACTTCCTTGAGAGCATTTCACATGCAGCAGTCACAAAGATAGCCACTAAAACCAGGAGAGACACACCATAGGTTATATGTGACTGCAGCCTCCTATAGACTTCCTCAAGATACTGAGAACCTATGAAATCTCAGAGGCAGCCTCCGGGAAGTAACTTCCTCCTGGGGAAAATGAATGGGACCAGCTAGGAAAACGACACAAGATTGAATTTTACTCTTATTTACCTCACTGTTAGTGTATTTTCTGTTGAAGGTAAAGGAACAGCTGGCAAAGCAGTTCTTTCCCTCTTATCAGAAGTGGCTTTGGTGCCATTCCAATCCATATGGCAAAGGATTCCTTTTCCTTGACTCTGGTGGCAGTCCTCAGTGCCATGCCTGATTAGTTAAGGCCGTGGGCAAGTGGGAGCTACCTTGTAAGAGGCAGAAGTTATTAGAGGAAGGTGTTGTCAAACCTCTGTAGGATAACGGTGATCACTGCACACTTTTAGTTTTGATATCATGAAAGAGTTGTTCCCTTAGGGAGAGCACACTAACAACGAACTTTAAAAGGGCAGATTATAAAACTATGAGGAAAATGGTTAACAGCAGGCTGAAGGGCAAAGAGAAGTACTTAAAAACCATAGAGATCTGCCTGGAGGCTATTTAAGAACATTGTATTAGAGGCACAGATGGTTTGTATACCTCTGAGCAAAAACAGCCTATGAGGAAGGATGAAACTCACAGGGTTATGTGGGAGAAAAGTGTGAGTATAGAAAGGTTGAAATGCATCCCATAAAGATGATGACTGTCTGAATGACAGACGAGGGAATGTTAGGAGGAAAGTGGAGGGAGCTGGAAAGTTAGTGTGAAGGAAAAGACTAATAGCAGCTGCTGACTCTGGACCCCCAGGATGAAACACCGAAAATAGTGAGTCTAATAAAGTCCAGACCACTCTGCCTCTGAAGACTGGGCTACTCCACATGAGACTTAACCAAAAAAGCAGCATACTGAGTCAGCTAGCACAAGCCAAAATCTTATTAAGGCAATCTACATTTTTAATATGTTACCAGGCAAATTTAAGAGTAAAGGAGTAGATTCAATCACAGTTACTCTATGCTAGGACTTTATTTTGACCTTGTGTTTTATACAGTTCCAAAAATGCTTTCAATCTTCGCTGAAGATGGTAAGAGATTAAAAAAAAAAAAAGAAAAAAGAAAAAAGAAACTAAACAGTCCTAAAAACTCTGATTTTAGTAGGAGAAAAAACCCAAAAACCCTACATGAAACCCTAGTAAAAGAAAAAACCCAACCTGTTCTCACACAGCTTTGGGCTGAGAGAGACTATCTGATAGGGATGAAGTGAGGTTTGCACAGCATTTTTACACTGGTGTGTAATTGGGCAGATGCGAAATTTTATTGCCATATATCAGAACAAGAACACACTGATTATAAATTAGGCAGGGAACATCTCAAGTATCACAAACCTGATGATGTGTGCAAAAAGAGTCCCTGTGAAATCAATGAAAGCTATTTTCTGGTTTTAAACCAAGGAAAGCAGGGGAAGGTTAGAACAACTTACTTTTGCAATAAAACCTTCATGCACACGGTCTCGCTGGAGCTAGAGCCCTGGCATCTAGGCTGTTTTATTCTGCCTTGTTAAATTGAAACAAACAATTCAGCTGCCCGAGTCCCTTCTTTTCTCCTCTGACATGCCAACTATCTTGAGAGAAGAGATTAAGCATTGTTCTGATGAGTGCTGCAGCAGCAGCAGCTTTATAATTTAAGGGCTACATAAAATTTATGGAGCACTGAGAAGAGCTTAAATTAATTTTGTGGTTTTCATAAATTATTTCAGGTAGATGAACTTTCTTCCAAAAAGCCAGTGATGTTTGAGCTGTTTATCCAATGGACAGCAACATCGAAAATAGGGATTTTCAAAGGCACCTGTGGGAATTATGTATCTGAGTTTGATGGGAGTTAGAAGACTTGTTCCTTTGAGCTACTTAGTATTCCAGTGTAAAATTTTAATCATTCCAAATTGCTTAAAATACTTGGTAAAAATCAAAATTAGAGGAGGGTTAAATTTAGAGCAATTTTGAAATTTCATTTAAATGCTGCATGTGCTTATAAATAGTGGATGGATAGCCTGTAATTCTACTTCAAGTGACAAACCAGTCTGGCACTTGTAGAGTTAAGCCCTTTCTTAAGACAGTGTATTTTTGGGTTGTTGTTTAGGTCCCATTCACTGAGGGTCCTTGTTCTGTCTTTTTCACACTGTATTTGCAAATTACTCCAGCTGTTAAAGAGTAGGATCTGCCTGTACAGCAGAAAGAGAAACTAGCTGGTTTCTTATAGCACATTTCAAGATTATATAACAGGACAAATTATAATTCCATACGTTACAGAAATGAACAGAGACTGAATTTCCCTTCTGGACAAGTAAGTAAAGAGCTGATAGGATGCAATTCCCATTTCATCTTAATTTTGGGTGTTACTGGGTGTGATTTGAAAGAGTTTTCCTCTCCCTGGGCATTATGGTCATCAAGATACAGGTAGGTTGGAGACCTTTCATCTAACTGGGACCCCTTTGAGCTATAATTTTCATGTATTATTTTCTGTATTTTAAGCTGCTCCAACTTCTCTAAACTGACATCATTGTACTTCAGATTATTTCACACTGAATATACTAAACATGGTAGTAATCGGAGGAACCACTGCTCAATTCCTCTAAACTGGATAGGCAACTTGGAATAAATTATTTACTGATATTACTGCATTGCTTTAAGTGAAATGACACTGATAGATACTGAGCTCCTTACTAAACCTGAACAAGGTAGTCTGAGGTGAGTGGGTTTAAATTCAAAGTAGTTAAATGTGGGACACTCCAGGATCTTGCCACTGAATTTCTACAGCCAACATTATACATAAATAATGGGAGCTTCTTACTCAGTGGTCATTATTCTGCAGGAGAGGATTTGTGACTGCTGTGAATTAAACACTGAACACAGTCCATGGTGTGAGGAAAGCTAACACAGTTTCAGCTCTAAAAATTAATGTGTCATGAAGAAGAACTGAGAAATAATCTTACCCAATTATTCTCTGCTTCAGACCTTAGCTGGAGTGATGTGTTTATTTTGTGCACTATATTTTGAAAAATAAAGATACATTCCAATTGGAAATTCCAACAGAAAGTAGTGGTATTGGTCAGGAGTCTAGAAAACGTGAACTGTAAGACTGAAAGAAGTGGGTAGTGCAACTAGAGAAAGGAGATGCAGGGAGAGGAATAGGAATGTGATACCAGTGTTCAGACATATAAAGCTTGCTGAAAAGAGGGAAGTTGCAAATTGTTCTCTGTGTCCTCTGGGAATACAAAAAGAATGAAAGGATTTAAATTGTAGCTAAGGAGATTTAAGGAAGACATTAGGACAGGCTTTCCATCTGTAAAAGTAGTGAAATATTGAAACAGATTGCCTGGGGAGGTTGTGGGATCTTCATTGCCAGACATTTTTAAGAACAGGTTAGACAAACTTCTGTCAGGAATGATTTGGGTATAATTGATCCTGCCTTAGGGCAGAGGGCCGGACTAGATGACCTTGCAAGGTCCCTTCCAGCTCTACTTTCAATGGTTCTCTTATTAGATGGCTGATGTCATATTCTTAGGACCTCACCATTCCTTTCAAAAGCAAAAACATGCTATAGTGATGGCAAGAGTCAGATTTAAACTGACAGTATCTGGGAAAAGGTATCAGCTAAAGGTTGATATCCCACCTTTAATTACTAACATTTGAATGTATGTAATGCAGATGGACTTGTTCAACAGCTAAATACTTGTAGGTTACACTGCTGTGAGATTTTGTGACCAGACTATGATCTTTTTAATGGCATGAGAATTTGTTTCTTGTAAAGTGTATTAATCTTATATATTACAACTTCCTTTCTGTCACTTGAGTAAGTAGCAGGCAGTGCTGCTCTGCATCTCACAAGTTTCAGGTGCGTCACTCTCATTCCACATGCCATGACACATTTGGCCAGTTGCTATGTACTCACTCACTCACTCACTCACTCACTCACTCACTCTGAAACTCATTCCTCTGTTCCAATTTATCATGATGCTGATGCTCAGCTTCATTATGTGGCTGTGTTAAAATAAATGCCACTGCTAATGTGCTTGCTATCCTTCTTTCCATCCTCAGACACTGGATATCCCTCCTACTGATTTCTGCTCACATGTTCTTTATTCCTGTTGATAAATTTCATTTTCATCTCTTTTGCTGCTTTCCCTTCAAGATGTGCTTGCATTACAAACTGCAGTTCAGCAGTTTAGCAGTTGGATTACATCCAAATATTACCAAATGCCACATCTTTTAATATCAGGCAGAGCAGCTTGAATTTTCTTCCTTGGAGTGCTGTAAAAGACACACTGATATGTTTTCTGTGCAAATGCCAAAAAGAAAAAGAAAATGCTTAACAAAAGATGGAGGGGTGTGAAGCAAGCTGAAAAGTCTGCATTCCCAGGATTTTCTATTTTCCTGATTTCTGGATTTAGTTCATGACCCAGCTGCTGATCTCTGAAACTATGGAACCATGCCAGTTTCTAGCAGCCAAGAATTTGTTGCTGTCACATTTGTGACTTGGTAGTACCTTCGTGTTCAGCTAAATAACCATATGTGCTTTTATCCCCAAAGGCCATGCCTGGCCATTGATGATCACAGTATTGCCAAGCCCTTGTATTCTAAAAAATTCATTGTCAATGCATGAAGTAGTATTTATACGTGTGTCTGTGTATATATATATATATAGATATATATGTATGTATTTATATACTATATATTTGAGTTTGAATTTGGCCTTTCAGCATTCAGGACTTTTGAGTTTTTATCTACAGCTACATGGAAAATAAAAACTGAAGTAAAAATAAAACCAAAACCAGAATAAAGCTGGGCTTTTTGCACACTCACATAATGCTTTCAGAAGCTGAGACGCGAAAAAAAATTTCAGCTTATGCCATGAAATCTGGTAGTGCTATAACTTGATATTTGGCCATTAAATTGTTTTACTGCATCCTTCAGGGAGAAAGATGCTATCAGTTATTTTTCATAATGGTGAAATGCTTGTCAGAATGCTTTAGGACACCCATTATTCTATGTATCTCTGCCATTTCCTTATTAGAGACATTAATATGCACTATAGCTGTGGGTACTGCATGTGGTGTGTCCTAGAGGACTTCTCTTGATTGCCCTGGGCTTTGGATCAGAGTCCAGAGTAACTCTTTCTGTCTTTGTTCATCTCTTTTGCTCAAGACTTGTCCTTCATGTGTTTTGGAGGTAGGTGGACAAACAACACGGATACTCTGGTGCATCCAGGTCAGATGGCTATGTTCCTTGTCCCTGTTGTGCATTCTGTGTGTGTATTCTCCAGCTTCTGCTGTGGTTGTACATGGGGGGCGGGTAAAGTGCACCTCCAGGTCACTGCTCCAGATCCCATGTGCCCCCAGTTTCAACCTGAGGTGCACTGACTTGGCAAAGGCTTTTGTCTGAGGGCAGATTATCCCCACATCACTTGCTTCTCACTTTGTGCTTTGCATTGCTCAACACACTCCTTTTCTCTTCCCTGGGGGTACTGTCTGTGGCAGTACTCTTTCTTGACCCTAAAATGCAGTTTCATTCATTTTCCCCACTGGATAATACTGAACTTGGAGGTACATTTTGTTATTTAGACACAGCAACTGTGATAGTATCCTGCTTCTATCAGAGGTTTCCTGTACAACAGTGTTTCTTAATGTCTTATTTTTCCATATTGGCACTTTCTGGTGGCAATGTATTTGAATTGCGAGTGCCCCAATGTATTTTTTCATGTACCTGTTGGGTTGTTTGTTCTAGTTCTTCTTACCTCCAACAGCCCCAGCACAGAGGCTAACACATCTTCCAGCAAATCTGCCTTGCAAGGAGTGAAGGGGGCTGTTTACTGCACCTCCTGAGCAGCAGCAGTGTGAGTGAACATTTGTAATGTGAGACTGCTTCTCAGACTCACCGGTCTAAGGTGTTTACATCCACTGTACCTGTGCAAAACTCCTGTGTTGCCCTCTTTTCCCTCAACTTTAGGTTGGCACGGACAGAGTCCAATAATGCCTGTGAGTTGTTCTCTATGAATTTCCCAAGCTCCTCTGCACCTTTAGAGAGTTTGGAGTCACAATGGCTGCAACACCAGCTGAATTTGGAGTTTGAGTGAGTCAGAGACTTTTATGTGTGGATGCAAGCCTTTTTAAGGCACCTTTCAGTGCTTAAGAGCCCATGAGGGTTCTAATAAATAAATGCTTTTGTCTCAGGTGTTGACTTTAGTGTAGTCATTCAGTACCACATGCACAAATACATACCCATGAATCTTGTTGAACTGTGAGGTTTAGAAAGCCGTTTTCTTAGTCTTGCATCACAAATTTATATGGCACATACCCTAGTGGAGCCCTAATCTGAGCCACAGACTCTGGGGTGCTACTTTAGTACAAAAATACAGTAATTTGTAAATGAATCTGGGAGATTTTAAAATCAATTTTCTTCAGCAAACGGTGATTATTGAAATGGTTGCAGTTATCACTGAGGACTGAATGTATAAAGTGCTTCAAGATCGAGAATTGGATTCTCTAAACATATAATTCTTTTATCAATAATTCTTACGAGCAGTCTTCTTTCTACCTTCTCCCTTTTGCCAGAACTCTCCCATCTATTATCTGCTGAGCTCATTTGCCTCCTGGATAGCTGTGGATTTGTTGGTATACAAATTTTTTTATTGACTAGAATGAACATTTGGAGGATAAGAATGCCATTGCTATTCACACCTGAAGGTAATCAATACTAGTACAGAGGAATAAATATTTTCTAACCAACTAAGCATCTTCTCTAGTCTTACTTTGTTTTTCTAAACCCCAAAGGTCTGTATCCTGTGAACAAAGCGGTGAGGGGCAATAGCATTTACATCTTGTTACTAGAGGGGGATTGAGAGAGAAACTTGTCTCCTGGCCTTGGCTTTTCCCATACTCCAGCTCATCAGTCAGTCACTCATAAACATCCTCTACTGTTTGACTGCAGCCTGTCTACTCTTTGACTGCAATGGTGATAATTATTTGTCTGTCATCAATTTATTACCTCCAACACAGAAGAAAGAAAAATCTTCTTGAAGAGCCTTGATGTCTCATTGGGAATGGCAGAAAATAGCCTGCAACTACAGTGTTTGAGGGAGCATGTGATGGGACATTGCAGTGATGTGGTGTTACTTGCTTCCACCTGGGGTCTGTTCTGCGGAACGGGTATTGTTAGTATGTAAAAAGCAAAGAAAAGGGGAAAGCACAGCAAAAAGTGGTGGAGTCTGCCCTGTTCCTGGCCTATTCCACTGGCCAGTTCCAGATGCTAATGACCAGTCGTTGGTGTCATTTGGGGTTTTTCAGGTTTTCCTTGCCCAGAGACACTCAGGAGATTTGCTCTCGCTTGTAGCCAGATTCTGCCTTCATTTAAGCCTGAAATGAGTCAGCGGCCAGCAGAGCGTCGGGATTTTGCAAACCCTTCCCGCGGGTTCGCCAAGGCCGTGCCTCCCCGGGCCGGGCCGCGCCGCTCGGTCCCGGCGCTGCCTCCGGCGGGCAGCAGGTGGCGGCCGCGCCTCAGGCTCGGCAGCGGGGCCGGGCCGGTCCCGCGGGGCTGTGGCGGCGCCGGGAGCGCTCGGCGGCGCTGCCCGCCCGCGGCACCGCGCCCGCCGCACTGCCCGGGCCTGCCCTGGGCCGCATTGCCGTGCCTTGCCGTGCCCTGCCTGCCCTGCCTGCCCTGCCCTGCCCTGCCCTGCCTGCCCTGCCCTGCCCTGCCCTGCCTGCCCTGCCCTGCCCTGCCCTGCCCTGCCCTGCCCTGCCCTGCTAGCGCACGGCGCGGGCTGGGTTTATTCTGCTTGTGTTTCTCTATTTCCCCGTCTTCCCTTTTTCTCCTTCCCTCCGTCTCCTGCATATCTAGGGTAACACCTGCTGCTCGGATTTGTGTTTGATTTGGGATGAGTGAAGAGCGAAGTGCTGCAAGGGGCAGGTTAGAGTGATGCTTTCCTCTGGTGAAAAAGCAGTGTTCTTCGGTTTACAAATCACAGCAGCACGGAACATTCTGAGTTGGAAGGATCATCAGGTCCGACTGCTGGCGCTGCACAGGACACCCCGAGAATCACACCATGTGCTCAAGAGCATTGTCCAAACGTCTCCTGAACTCTGCCTAGTTTGGTGCTGTGACCACTTCCCTGGGGAGCTTGTTCCAGCCCCCAACCACTGTCTGAGTGAAGAACCTTTTTCTAATATCCGATCTAAACCTCTCCTGACAATTCAGGCCATTCCCTCAGGTTTTGTCGCAGGTTGTCAGCAGTGGCAGCTTGTTGAGGGCTGCACTGTGGGGGCACCTGCTGCGCTCCCAGTTCCCACTGTTCTACCTCTGTTGGCTCTTGCTGTGCACGGTGCCACCTTGGCTTGGTGCCATTAGGAGCTGGAGCCCAGGGTGTCAGGGCCTCAAGGCTGGCGAGCTCCAGGGTGAGGATGAGGATGGGGATGAGGCACACCAGGGTTTGCACACTGCTCTGGCCACTGAGCACCACAACCCAGGATTAGTGACCTAACTGATGGGTAAAGCAAAGTCAGGCCCACCGTGTTGGTTAGGGATGGGTGGGAGATTAACTGCAAAGAGTATGGGGAACTGTCTGTGGAGCACCCAGTAAAAGGACCAAAAATGGAACTTAGCAAGACATTTAAAATTCAATGAAGAAAAGCCATAGTGGAAAAGAGACTCCTTTCTGATGTAGGGTCATGGTAATAGGCTGTATCTTGCAATTATTACACACACAGTTGGAAACTTAGTTAAGTGAAAAGTCTCCACTGGCTTCAGCAGGAGCCTCTGTAACAGCCTCATGGGTGTGAGGGAGCCATAGCAGAATTCTGTGTGCTACTGTTGAAACTTAAGTATCATCAATATCTGCATCTTGCACGTTCTCTTTGATTTGGCTGGCTCTGTTTGCAGTGCCTTGACCTGTTATCTGTACACATTATTTATCACTTATCTCCTGGCACAGATGTGCCCAGAATTTTATTAAGTACAACAAACTGTAGTTGAATATTTAGGCTGAAATGCAATTGGTAATGCAAAAGCAGTGGCCCTAGCAAGGTGTGATTTCTAATATGCTATAAAGTGTGGAAGATTTCAGGTCAATTAATCAATATTTGTGGAATTGAAGAGTAAAATTTCCCACTATTGGACCTGGATTTTTAATCATTAGACCATATATACTTGCTGAGCCTGGATGCATAGGTGTTGTCTTAAAAAGGCAGTATGTGCTGGAGACATAAAGTCCTCCTGGAGACATAAAGTCGTGATGGAGATATAAAATCATTCTGGAGGTGATAAGATTTTCTGATGTCTCTGAATGTGACCTCTTATGGGAATAGGATCCATGCACACATCAGGTGATGAAATTTGCACATGATATGGATCAGCTGATTTAAATGAATCTGCCATTTAGTGGCTGCCTGACTACTCACAGCTTCTCTTGAGTGTCAGTCCAGTCCTTTTTGAAATGAGAACAGTAAGATAGCTGTCCTTAGCAAACCATGATGAAACCTGCCAATGACCATTTTCACACGCTATTGTCTCTTTGTTTTGTAATTGTATTTTTAAATAGAAGCAGGCAGATACTGAGATTTTGAGATGAACATTTAGGAATGTAGGTGTAGGTGGAAAGCCAGTCCTATGTCCACAAGGTCCACCTTTTTTTCTTAAAATATCAATCCCATAACCTTGAATGCTTTTTGGAGAGATCTGTAGACTTAACTGAATGAAAGCAAGGGATGAACACGCCATTTTGTTTCTCAAGCAAAAAAGTACATCTGTATTATTAAACATGGATGTCTGAAGTTAAGAATC